TTTTTTTTTTTTTTTTTTTTTTTTTTTTTTTTTTTTTTTTTTTTTTTTTTCATCGATACCCTTGCACTAACTATAAACGCAATGTAACGTTGCTAATATGACGAAACCTTAAACACAATCTAGTCCAATACTAATTCTCTGACGATAATTTATATTGGCTGAAATAATAAAACTGCGGAATAACAGTATACGCAATAGACGTATGTACATGATTGCAGTTGATTGTTGCGACATTTATCGCATTATCATTCGCGTTATCTTTTTAATCGTATAACACTGATGATGAAAAGTCGGCCGGTCGGTCGGTGGGTTTGTTTCAAAATTCATCACGTTATTCAAGTTGGAACAAAGTTTTTTCGCTCAATAGACATCCATGTCCAGCTTGTGTAGTATCATTGGTGAATAATATACTAAAGCAATAATAATAATAATAATAATAATATTAATGTGTGAAGGAAAGTCGAGTAAATGTTGATGAGTCAACCATACATAATTGCGTATTATTAACATGTAGCACGTGACAACACCAGCAGCAGTGGTTAAACATAATCTTTAAAATTTTATTTCAGTCAGTAAGTAGATTTCGTTGATGTTACACTAAGCATGTAATGCCGCTCCTTTGTATTGAATCTCTGCCTCTAGTCCCTTGCAATGAAGTGCTACACATTATTACGCGTGGGTAGGTAGGTACATGGCCATATACTTAAGTATACCTACATACGCAATGTAATAAATAAATAAATTTGCGTGTACATCAGATGATTGAACTGGTCCTACTGATTGCCATGATCTTCCTTTCGATTGCATCTCATCGCGTCGACGTCCGCTCACTCGGGCTTGAGCTTGTCAGCCACCGCTGCGGGTCTGTGCTTTCGGCGGTAAGCTTGTAGGTAGAAATCGTAGAAGAGGACGAAGAATATGGCAGAGTGGAGAAGTAGCAGGAATGCGACAAGCCTCGGGTAGCCGCAGTCGAACACCAAGGCTTGGGCGCTGTGGACGAACACTAGGAAAAATTGCACCTAAGGATGAAAGCGCATATTTTACTTTACTTGCTCCTTTAAATTATTTATTATTACTATTATCACTGGTTCCGTTTTGGACGATTTCGTTTGGAATGCAAGGCAAAGATTTTTTGCGCGGACACATACACCATTGCATAACCGTAAATCAAACAATGCTTATGCGCCGGAGGCTGATTGTATTATGATGGATCCATGAGAGATGATAACTATATCTGCATGTTTCGGAGCATTCATTCCAATCAGCTCTTAACGATACGGAATTACGTACGGGCATGAGTTTCATGTTGTGTCTGTGAGCTCATTTCAACAAAAATTAATTTACGCATTTTTTGCGTCAATGAAAATAACACAAGCATCTCGTCGAATCAATGTTCACACTCAATGATAACCTTATAGTTTGTATGAAAAAAATCTAAAGTTTGTTCGGTTAAAAATATACTAAATAATGGTCCCACGCGGGCACGATGGCACAATTATTTTATGGATTTTCTAGCACTTTGTAAGAAAATTTTTTTTTCTCACAGATACGTGTAGTACATTTTATACATATTAAAGCTTATTGTAAAGTATACTTTGACATTTAATGTTTTAATACTTAGTGACGACTATTCTTTTCGTCTTGGTTATTTCTTTCTTTCAAATTGTAATGCATTATTTTGGCTCAAGTAAATTTTGTTACAAATAGAGAAGAAAAAAAGAAAAAAAATTGTAAAAACCTGCACGTATTGTCTAAGCGTGCGTTTTAAAATTCACAATCGAGAGAAAAAGAACTCCCCCGTCGGGCGTTTCTGATGTCGAGTTTTTTTTTTTTTTTCCCATGCAATCGTTTGAAAAATGCAAAAGCTTGTGCTGCCACGTGTTTGTTCTCGGTCAAAGAATTAGAGTAAGTTACACTTGAGGAGAGTACGTCCGGTGGTCCATTTCCCAAAGGGCCTTCATTAATTTCCAGCTGCGTGTATCCTTACAATTAGGTGGATGCTGTTGCGATGCGGAAACTAAGACGTGTACAGTGTAACGATTAATAACGTTTACTTAAAATACGCACGAACGGGCGTAGGTAAATCGCGTTAAATCTGTAGGATCTCGTCTTGAATGTATAAGTAAAAAATTCGTGGAATACACATCATTATATCCAAGGACACCGTGTAAGTCGTACTCTCTCGCCACGACCCTTCATCGATGAATAGTACAATAGGGGCAGTACAGGTAATACTTTTTTGAATAATACAATAGCGTGTAACAATACGCTCTATAATAAATACCCGCGCGAATGAGATCGGGAGAGGAAGAGGAAGATAATGAGGAGTATTGAGGGAGCGATAAAAACTTAGCTATTCAACCTGTACTTTTTTTTTTTTTTTTATATTTCTTTTATTCAAATGCGCACATTCAGTAATAACGATAGCGAGAGGAAGTCTTAAATTTCCAAAATTCAAGCAAAAATTATAATCACAAGCGTACGGGAAACATGGTTTTGTTTTTTTTTTTTTTTTTCATTCTGGCAATTGAAAAATATTTTTGTCGGAACGTATTTTTTCTATGATTGATTCGTAAGTCGCTCAACAGCCGCAGCCGTTTCTTTGTTATCACTGCCATACTGTATAAATATACGCATCATTGTACCCTCCGTTGCTTTTGTTATAAAAATTTTTGGAGTAGAAAATGCACCAACGTATCATAGGCGAATTTGTCCTTCGCTCCTTTAGGTGTACATAATATATATTAACGTACACGTAACAGTTTCTCCTAATGAAAAGGTGTGGGTGATATTTTTTCATTTCAACCCGCACGTATATACATACTTATCCTGAATCTCCTCGATTTCTCTTTGTGAAAAGTTAAAAGGCTCTTGGTGCACGGGTTGCAGTCCATGAATATATACATACGTACATGGAAATCCTCTCCATGTCGCCGTTAAAAACCCTTTGGTACGCGTTAGCGCGAGAGATTTCGTGTACGGCTCGTTGAGAATGTGATTAAACGTGAAAATTTGAGTTTTTTTTTTTTTTTTTTTTTTTTTTAACTGTATAGGTATGACCTTTATCCAAGTGCGTTGTTCAAGTTTTTGTACGTTTATAATACGCTCCACAGTAATTGAAACCATAACTTTATATACAATAAAAATAAAGGTTTCAACAAATACTTAATTAGCTCTAAAAAAATGAAATGGTATGATATTGAACACGATAAAATACGCTTGCAAGTAACAGAAACAAGTATAGCCTTGTCGTGGCAACAATTTCAAAAAACATAAACGGCTCGATTACGTAGAACTGGTGAAACAGTAATTGATAGCAGATCGATTTTACGATGATTTTAAATAATTTAAAACGCTTTTCCCCTTTTAGTTTTCGGACCATAAAAAATACCCAAGTGCGCGAAAAAGAGAAAAAAAAAATCTTTATGAATGTACAAATAGGAGTGTATTATGCTTCGCTTAAAAAACTCGTAACTGTTGTGTATCATGGGTGTACTTCGGGCTACTGTTTGCTTTTGTTGTTGCAAGTTTGCGCGAAAATACGAAACACGAGACGCGCTTTATTACATCGCGGACGTTTAAAGATGACCTCGCTCTGCGGAAGGGAGATTACTCAAAGTATCCATTTTAAAGTGGCTACAGTCTCAAAGGCACCCCACTACCACGCCCGCGGGATTTTGCCCATGACATGGTCGGAGATGGTTTATATGATGTCTCCGGGACGAGGAGGAGATAACAAGACCTGGCGCGCCCGACTATTGATTGCAGGTAGACTCGCAGGCGTGTTTACAGTGTCAAGTGGACAAGAAAGGACCCCTTCAACGTTTTTCCTCCCAAAGTCAGTGTATCTTTTTTTTTTTTTTTTTTTTTTTCATCCCCGTATATACCTAAACGTAAACAACGCAGTGCACTATCTCTTGAGTTTTATCTCTTGCTTGGTTTGTGTCTCGGCTTTTGTGCGGATTTTTCTCTTTCACCTCCGTTTGTCGCGCCCCTCTTACTATTCCATTTTTTTTATTTGTTTCCTTTTCTTTTTTGCTTAGCCCACTTTACCGTCGCGCGCCACCGATTTCCGGTTTTACCCGTGTAATTTTCGGCCCTCTTTTCTCCGACTCTCCGTCTTCGAACTTTCCTTTTTCTATTTCTTTTCCTAAAACATTTTTCCCCCTTTTTGCTTTTGCTCGCCATAGAAAAATTAATTTTCTTCCTGCAAAGTATCGCGAGGGTTTCAAGTATACAAAAGCAAACACTGCACGCCGTAGAGTTCGCTCAATTAATTTATGTAGGGAACAAAGAAAAAGATGAAACAACACAGCGTATGCTTTTAAGCAAAGTATGTGAGCCCACTGCAGTCTGTTTTTATATTAATTTCCTTCTCAGTCAAAGTTGGCGAAACAAAAAAAAAAAAAAAAAATATTAACTCATCTTTACTCGTCTTCTTGCTGCTCGAGTACGTAGTATACGTGTATGAATAATAAAACAACTTTTTCTCGCGCCACTGTCCAACGCGCAAAATAGAAAAAGAGAAAAAGCATGTAGCACTTGAATTTTCTCGATTTCTTATGCAATCGCACACAAGAGTGCACGGCAGGTTACCGGGGCCATTGTTCGCCTCGGAGCAGCGGCCTTGCGCTCTTTCTCTCCGGAAGTAGCCGCTGGTACTGAAAGAATCGGATAGTATACGTATCGGCTCGTCAGGTCAAGTGCTGCTCCGCTGTACCCCCCTTTTTTTTTATATCCTTTTTACGACAAACACCGATGATGGCCTCCTTTGAAATTTCGAGGTACTGCGTTTCACACCCGCTGCCTTTTACCCTGCACCCGTATACCCCATTAGGGCTCGAAATACTACAAATGAGACTATATTTTTTTTTTTTTTCTAAGTAGTGTCGTACTCAAATCAACGAACTCTCAACGACTCCCCCGCGGTGTCGTCGGTCTATTTTTGTCAGCTCGTGTGTACCTACTCGTTTTTAATAACATGTTTCGCGCGCACATGCACGTCAGTTTCTTTTTTTAGCGCGTCATTTGCACGACGCTGAGTCTAATTGCAGCTCTCGTGTCGTGTCCAACCTACCTATACCTTCGTTTCCACCGAAAAAGGTTGTATTTTTATCAACAACACATAGGTACACCTGTTGTGACATTTCGATACGGCGACTCTTTAATTTGATGTCGAAACAAAGGAAAAAGAAGAGAAAAACTCTCGGTTTGGTTTTTACAAAGGCGCTGTTGAAGTTTTTCGGCGGACCTTGCACAGTTCTTTCCGGACTTTCCGCCAATCAACCGAGAGACGGGAAATCGAGGCTTCCCTGCTTCTCGATTCTCTTTCGTGAGCTCACCCCCTTTTTTTTTTTTTTTTTTTTCTTCGTCGTGGACACTCGACGCTCGGCTTTTCGGTTATAACCGGTCACTGACACCACCGACCTCGATCGGTCGAACCGAGGGAAAAACAAAAAGTACGTTTGTACAGGGAATACTGGGAAAAATTAAAAATTAAAAATTACCTAGCAAAAGACATCCCTTTTCCCAAGTTTGCCCGAGAATATATTAAAACGACCCTCCCATTCCCAATTTTTTTTTTTTTTTTTTTTTTTTTTATGGCCAGAGATGTTATTTTTCTTGTTTCCCGCTGTAAGATTCGAAATAATGGCAACTGCAGTCGTTGTTTATTCGTCTTTGTGCATTGATACTCTCGACGGAGCCAACTGTGCAGCCAGACAAAAGATCAAAGCGAAAAGGTAACGAGAAGCTCTTTGTGCTGTTTAGTTTCAGTGGAGCTACTCCCCCTTTATCCTACATACTTTTTGCAACAAAGTTTAATACCGAAACAAAAAAGCAACACTACAAAGGCGAAAAAACTCGGAACGTTCAAAGTTTAATTGAATCCGCTCATCCCCATCCAATCATCCCCTCGCTCTCACTACCGCGAACACCCCGAATTTACCTTTTTTACCACGAATTATATTATTATACACTATATTTTTAATTTCACCGTCAAGGATTTGAACGTTACAGTAAAGAGCGTCCGTGAAATTTAATTTTATTTCCCAAAAGTAAAGAAAAAAATCAGGGTATAATAATGGTGTTAACATCGGCGCGATAACAATGACGTAAATACAAGTTTGCTCGACGCGCATACTGTAATCTCTGTCCCGTTTCTGCAGTTGCTAACACACACATTCCCCCACGTCTCGCCGTCGTCTTTATCACCGCCGCAGCTTCCCCCAACTTTTGGTAGATACGCGGTATATCTGGATGTACGTGCACCCTCGCGAAACAAAAACAACAGATTGGAGCGGGGCAGGAGGGGCGGAACGAGGAAATTAAGCGAGCGCCGCGCAACCCCACGGAGATCGATCGACCAGTTGCTCCGGTGGTATATGATGGCTGACGTGTCCGCGCATCCGCGCGCTATTATATATATATATACGAGGAGTGCATATGGATGCTCTGTTACCACCTCGTCCCATGAGGAAATCGCTGCCCGGACTGGCATTCCGGGCTCTGAGAATTCACCCCACCCATCCTTTCCGGCTGCACGCTCGCCGATGTACATGCGTGATTGAAAATTCTATCCGTCTCCGGTCGCGGTTGCATCGATTTTATTTATTTATTTATTTTTTTTTTTTAATGCTTTTTAAATTTGTACTCCAATGATTTTCAGAAAATAGATAGAAAAGAAACATTTTTCGGGTAAAAATGTGCACTTCGAATAGGGAAAAATTTTTTTTTTTTCTTTCAAGTATATATTTCAAAGTAATCGAAAAATAATCGAGTACTATGGGTGAATGATGCACGCGTTGTTTTTTTTGTTTCATGATTTCTTTTATTTTCCAACCTTTATCATCTTGGATAAATTTCCATGCAAATTGGATTTGTACAGAAAATCACCACATTCGAAATTATTAACATCACATATTTATATATGTAGGGTATATTTAACGATTATTTTTGGATAAATATTGATTTACGAATGATGTACTTTAGCTGTTTTTATCTCCTTGATTATATACCCCATTATTTAAAGTTGCATTAGTTTATCTGTTTTTTAGTACAAGAAAGCGAATAAAAATGTACGATTATTGTTATTTTTATTACTATTGTTTTTATGTTGGGATTATCGGTACAAGTTGTTGGCTTAGATAGCGAAAGGAGGTCGATATCATATAATTCATTAAGAGGATCACTGGGCATCTGTATGGAATGTATATTTTATAAGTATCTTATTATACTTTTTGTAGAACAAAAAAAAACGTAAATTCGTATTCATATGTTTATTTACTCGTTTATTTGGATGAAAAAATCTTTTTAATTATTACAAAATGTTTTTATTCAGATATACTCTTGTCAACACTACAACTAGCGCGATTTAGTGGTACAACTGTTCATATTTATAAATATATTTTTTTTTTACACTCGCTGATAGCTGAAAACGTGCGACTTGGGAGACGGACTATATTTATTCATCGCTTATTAAATACAAGTTGATACTATATAAGTATGATACATTACCATTTTCGTAGAAAGTATAATTTTTTACTTAGTTAAAAGACCTTGTCGAGCAAATTTTATCTGTAGCGCTGAACAAAAAAGCTCACAAATATACATACGGTTCCTTTCTTTACTTTTCTTCAACTTTTTTTTAACCTAGACATAAGACTAATTTATATACTTTTAATTTTTTCTAGGGCACCTTAAAGTGCACACCGGAGCTCTTAAATTAGACCTTTACTTCGATGTATTGCTAAACTCGAAAGATATTCGTAGTTCTTCAGGTTCCCTTGTCTGAATCTTTTGCATATTCCATCACGTTACTTGGCAATTTTTTTTCTTTTTTTCGCCACATACATAAAACGATGTGATGAATCGCCACAAAACAAATTTTACTCTCGCACTCTGGAAGCTGAAAATGAAGCAAATAAACGCACGATAGGTGTAAAGTTTCCTCAAGAACTTTTTTTTTTTTAATTTCATTTACATAGAAGTCGATTTTTGGTCCTGCACCATCACAAAGCCTATGAAAACAGTTGAGTCACCCCGTTAGAAAATAGATGACAAAAAATTCAATCCAGTACACAGAAGCATCTTATAGGCTTATACCAGAGTAAAAAGTGCAATCACACATTGTTTAATATTGGTGGCAAAAAAATGCTGTATCTGTTTGTAAGTGGTGAGGGTTACGCTGCAAATTGATGTCTTACACAAGTTTTTTTTTTTTTTTTTTTGTTTTTTTTTGTTTTTTTAGAAAAAATTGTAGATCTTGTTGAAATACTACTTTTTCTACGAACACCCTTTCTCTGAGAAATTGTAGAAATTTTAGATAAATAACGAAAAAATAATTTATCTAAATAGTGAAAAAAATTGAGTTTCGACCACAACAAAAAGTCTTTCTAACACTATAAAATATAAAAATGACTGTCAAAATATCGTCCAGCATCTATAACTTTCAATGTGTGCGATTATACTTTTTTTCTGGTGACAGAAAACAACCGTATTCTATTAGCTCGTTAGAAAATGATGAAATACTACACAAATAGAAGCATTATTTTCTAATGATACATCGTATTAATCCCATGGGTATTCCCAATAAACAGTTTTTCCCCGCAAACTAAAAACCAAGTGAATGTATTAAAAAACCGTTCATTCTTCGTCTACTCCCAAAAGTTATATTATAATATGCATTAGGTACCTTATATATACATATGTGTGGGTATGCTTATTAAAAACTACTTTATAAAAATATCCATTTTACCGACAAGTAAAACGAATTCCCATGCACTCAATCACCGACATACATGTGATTAATAATAATAAACCTTAAAGGTTAATCATATATTATGTTAATAATGATGAAAATGTTTCGTAATTATCATATAGTCAATTATCCATCTAAAATAGCGTACTGAATGTAATTAATTTCACACACGTATCGGTGTTTAAAACACCCTTTTCGTAACGATAAAAAAATAAGGTTGAAAATGTTGCCTCTGTTCCGCAGAAGATGCAGCAGAAGTAGAGCGACAAAGTGCGACGAGGGAAGGAGAAAAAAAAGAAAAAAAAAAAAAAAACATATGCGCGTACCGTGGGCGTTGTCGGTGCTCTCGCTCATATGGTGAAGAGATTTTCGCAGCTCTTGGTCTTCCTGTGGAAGCCACCGAGTATGCTCTTGAGGATCTTCTTGTGGCTATGCTTGTGGCGCCGACGGCGGCTCGACTGGTCCTTGTTGCGCTGCGGGTTCAACTTTATCTGGGCTATTATCCCGACGAGGAGCTCGTCCACGTGGTGCGCTATCCCCGACGACGTCTCGATGAATTTGCAGTTGAAGGTCGTCGCCAAGCGCCGACCGGCTGATCGGTGGAGCAGGTAAGAGACACACGCACACACAAACGTAATTTATATATTATTGATTTTTGCCCCCCCCCCCTCCTAAATCGAAGGTATATTGCTCGAACGACATTTCCCCCATTGCGCACGATGTGCACGTGAACGTGGATGACATTTTATCGATACCCCGAACGGAGGATGTGGGAGGAACAAAAATTTTTTTCTTCTTCTTTTTTATCGCAATGATCTCCCAGCGGGTCGCAATTTCCGATCGTGTCGTTCCGTGCTCCACCGCGAGGACAAACGTAATATCGCGAAAGCAGCACGAAACGTCATTACTTTCGACTTTATTGTCGGTGAAAAAAAAAAAAAAAAAAAATCACCGGTCCAAGGACCTATTCGCCGTCACATCGAAACATGAACTCATTAAAAAAAAAAAGTGTTTTCATTAAGAAACGAAGGGGGTTGTGAGTGGAAGATGCTTTATTTGTTCTCAGCGATAATATACATAGCGCTTGGATGGTACGCAGGTGTCGGCCCGAAAAGCCGGTTGCGGGGATTCCCAGCTCTCGGACGGCGATTTCCCGATTGTCGCGCGTGGCAACCCCAAAGACTCGAACAAAAAAGAAGGGAGGGAAGGGCGTGGGTGTACTCACTTATGGTAGAGACTTCTCGTTTGCGCTCGAGATCGGCCATGTTGCCGACGAGTATGACCCCACGGCTGGCCATGTAGTTATTGTTCCAAAGGTACATGAGGGTCTGCTCCGCGTGTTTGAAGCTGCTCCTGTCCACCACCGAGTACACGATCACGAACACGTCCGGGTTGTACGTCGAGCAGAACGCCTCGGTCTGTGCGGGCAAAAAGTGGGTAATCCTCACCTCTTTTATTACAGACAATATATGTATTTATCATCACAAGTACTCGATTCGACTTGTCTTTTGCTTTGTCTTGTATAGGTATACATGTGCATATTGAATAATGATATAGCTCTGCCGTGTGGTGGTTTCCCCCCGTTTTCATCATCCTGTTCCCTAAAAAGGATATGCCCGAAGGACATCGAAATGTTGGGGAATGGTAATTCCCCAGGAATTAATGGGGAATGGTCGTGCTCCAACTACCAATCATGTTGCCAGACAAGGGTGTACCTTCATTAATATCTTTTTTTTTTTTCCATCCGCAATGTCACACGTGCACTTATGTACGTATACATGTACGGTGCGCGTGGTAAGCGAACAAAGGAGTCGCTTTGCTTCGATTTTGATCAAAGACCGAGCTGTGGGTGTTTATAGATTTGAAAACTATACTTCCGACGCATAATATATATGTACATTTTATGTAAGCGACGCGTAAATTGTATATCTCAAAAGTTACGAGCCATTTGTCAAGCCCCTTTTTGAGATACCGGAAACAAAGTGTATTTTGCTGATTAAGTCGTCCAAGATAAAGAAAAAAAAAAAAAAAAAAAAAACTTAAAANCCACGTACTGGCCCAAACATGGGAGTATTTTGTGTATGAAAAAAAAAAAAAAAAAAAAAAAACTTTCGAGTTGATAAATCACTTGGAAACAAAAATCTAGCTTTCACAAAAAATTAGACCATGCATTTTTTACGTCCTCGAGTGATGTATTTCGTTGTTTATTTTTAAGATCTCACTTGAGCTCGTAATATATGGGCTCTCAATTGTTGTAATCGAGACCGAGGCACATTTTTTATGCTCAGCTTTTTCTGAATTTTCTAAATAAACACATAAGTAGCCACAATTTTTTTTTTCAATCGTGAAAATTCAGTAGGTATAGAAAAAATTTTCATCTTGCGAGCGTCAATTCATCGCTTCTTTTCTCTCTCTCTCTCTCTCTCTCTCTCTCTCTCTCTCTCTAGAACAAAATTAACGATAATCCCCTCGATTGATCCGTCCATCTCATCCATCGCGAATTGCGAGTAATTACGCGATTGAATTGAATTGAAGCCAGTACACGTCAAGAGAGAGAGAGAGAGAGATACGATTAAATCACAAACGAAAGGATGTGAAAGTTGAATGACGAGAGTACAGCGTCGTATATACGTGCGGCTTGTCATCCGTTTGCCGCTGTCTGTTACGCTACGATGAATTTAATTTGAATTCCAATAGGCCAGTCTAGCGTCTATCATTTTTAATGCATACTAATTTTTTCGGCTTCTTTGTGGTATAATTATCTAATCTGTTGGATATTGGAGTATTAGAAACGAACATTCATGTGGCAATTTTTAAAATTTTTTATGTTAATTAAAAAATGCTGAAGTTAGAAGATAGCCACTACTTTTTTCGGGCTCCTTGAGATATAACAACCTGATATGAGAGTGTTAGGAACGAATATTTAATATTTGCAAGTGACCGATTCGAAATCTGTTCAATTTTAATTTTTATGTTTAAAACAGGGTATGCTGACTATTACAACATAATAATTGTGCATATTTTTTTATATTCTTTGAAGTGAGAAGACACACAATGTTTATGTAATATTTATATTTAATTTGTGTTGTTTAGTAAACCACCCAAAATATGTAACTGTGCACAACCCGTGCTCATATTTTACACCGTAATCGGCAAATAAGCTCGTGATCGAACACGACAACAAACAAGGGCGCGCAAAAGTATTTTTCACTTTGACATTTATTAGTCCCCCCCCCCTCCCGGAAATTGGGTTAAACACTCTCTAATGTTACACGAGAGAAAGGAGCGCGAGGGCAAGACGCGCTCTGAAATGTAAATTGCGCCGATACGAATGGCTTCGCGTCCTTCCGCGTTTTCTCCCCCCAACGTATACCGTCGCATCAGGTATATATTTATGCGCGCCGACGCACAGTGCACTCGGATGAATTAAAAGCGCAAAACGCGAGAAAGAAATTGAATCGCAATTATCGCGCGATATACGCCTCGTTCGGTATAATTCGAAGCTTCTCTCCCGTATACAGCTACACCGGCAACTTTCATTTCCAACTTATCCAATTATTTGACGCAAGCGGTACAAGTGCACTCGAAGGCGCATCGAGTTCGAGAGCCAATTTTCTTTTCGAATCGATGCCAATGGGGGATGTTTTATACATATGCTTTTTCTCCCTTCCCACTAACTCGCGCTGCAAAGCATGTTTTTCTTCGGGTAAAGGTGTCCGTGTTATTTTTCCTCCGATTAGATCTACCATGTACAGCCAAAGTGACGAATCGTCCTTTATCGGCTAATCCCCTCCCGACCTCCCGTCGCTCGCTCCATTGGCTAAGCGTATCAATCAATGATATCGCGATGCGGCTAATTTCAACACCTCCGGGCTCTTTCGTTTCTCTCGAGCTTGTTGTCCGGCGCTCAATATTTCGTTTGGACGACGAATTTTCTTTTCTTTTTTTTTTTTTTTTTTTTTTTTTTTTTTTTTTTTTTTTTTTTTTTTTTTTTTTTTT